TATAGAACTGGAGGTCGCTGGAACAGAATGTTGCTACTCGGAGTTTCACGCTATTGCGATCGTCAGGCAACTGATATATATATATAATATATATATATATATGCAGCACCTTTAATTTTTTCTATACGACGTAATTTAACAAAAAACACCACGCATCTTAGAAATAACACAAAAGACTTAATAAAAGACGTGTTTCATGTTACACCAACCCATCATCAGTAATAAACATACAAATAAAACAAACTTATGTTTATTTTGGTTCAATTATCAAGGATTTCAGTTCAAGAAGTTTACCTCTTTCTTTATTAAAGAAATACGAGAAGTTATCTATATAATAGGCGTACATATATTATATATATATAGACTATATTTGTATATGTTATTATAATTAACATTCTCCATAACGAATTATGAAACCGTCATAATGACTGCTTGTAAATAATAAATTATTTCATAGTTAAGTTGTCGTTCGACGGTGGTAACTACGCTATATCAGGGGGTGGTTTGACTGATGCGTACAATGCTGCTCAACTTCATTTTCACTGGGGCTCTGTGTCAAGTCAAGGATCCGAGCACACAATCGACGGAATGGAATACCCAGCTGAGGTACGGACAGAATCGATACTAAATTATAACACTATATACACCAACATACAGTATTGTGATAATAGTGATGATGATGATGATTAATACTACTAAAATAATAATAATAATAATAATAATAATAATAATAATAATAATAATAATAATAATAATAATAATGGATTATAATTACAGTAGTAATATTATTAATAATAATAATAATAATAATAATAATAATAATAATAATAATAATAATAATAATAATAATAATAATAATGCCGAATGATGGTGAGAACGACGACGACGATGATCATGACGACGACGATTTTAATTATGATACAACACACACATACTATATCCTAGTACTAATGTTTTGTTTTCCAATTTAGTTGCATATTGTACACGTGAAGGATGGCCTGACGCTCGCCGAAGCTCTCACCGACCCAAGTGGTCTTGCCGTTCTCGGGTTTCTTATAGAGGTAAGTCACGTGGGTTGGAAAAGTGGTATTAGCCAATGGGAGGAAACGTTGGGGGACAGGGCCCTCCGTAGGGAAATCTGCCCCACCAATCTGGGAAAAAAAACCAATTTGCCAGGGAGAAAAAAAAACCCTCTAAGTTATTATTAGTATATTATTATTATTATTATTATTATTATTATTATTATTATTATTATTATTATTATTATTATTATTATTATTATTATTATTATTATTATTATTATTATTATTATTATTATTATTATTATTATTATTTTTATTAATAATAATAATAATAATAATAAAATTTTGAAAAGAATGATGGGAAATATGTGGGGGAATGATGATTATAATGAAGGTGATGATAATGCTGATAAATATCGATAATTTACTTATTATCCTTACATTATTATTACTTCCAGATGTCGTCCTTAATACTATTACTACTACTACTACTACTACTACTACTAATAATAATAATAATATTATTATTATTATTATTATTATTATTATTATTATTACAATATTATTATTACCATTATTCTATAAGTTTTAGATAGTACCTATTTCAGTCAAATTTTACTTCTTCTAAAAAGTTATCGTCCACGAATTAAGTTTATTGGCAGCAGACGTATAATCAGAGCGTGTATAATTACGTCAAATTGTAGTTTGAACTGCACATGCCCGTACGTATCCATGGTCCGTTGACATAAACCAGTGGTTGTGTGTATGTTGCTTTTGTCGATTGACCTTGGCACGGGCATGCGCAATTCAAAATACTAAATGGCTTATTTTTATATAGTTATAGTTTTATACAGTAACATTTCTATTAATGTATTGGCAGGTGTCTGACGAGGACAACGATGATTTCGCGCCTTTGATTGACGCTATTGTGGACCTAGACGATGGTAGGTCATTAAGCTAAGACTATTATAAATTACCAGTAGCAACAGCAACAACAACTATAATCAAACCAAAAACAACTCCACTCCCTAAGCCTCATGTGTAGAGCGTCTTGTCTATGTTTGTCTTGTGAATTTGATTGTCACCTATGAGTAGGATTGAGTTTGCTACTGAACTGACAATCCTAAGCCCGTGAGCCAAAATAATAATTTAAAAAAAATAAGAACAAGCTGCAGAAGTAGCTGCAGTCAGGTCATCATTGCCACTTTTACTTTTTTTTGGTTAGGACGATGAATATGATGATCTGGTGGTGGTGATGATGACGACCATAATGGCAGTGATGATGACTATGAATACTAACAAATAGCTTTCATCATAGCATAGTTATCTCTTTACAGAGAATATGGACGTCTTTGCCTAACTTCAAGAATATTTGTTTTAAATTCGTTTAATTAGTTTTAAATACAGACTCCTTTACCATTATTCAATGTTGTTTTCGTCATCCATACTATTTTGTATTTTGTGCAATTTTCTTGTACTTTTATTCATATATTTTATTATTATTATTTTGTTTTGTTTGTGTTATCTTTACTTATGTTCAACTTTTTAAATCTTTTCTTGCTGGTTTTTTTTAAATTTATTTATTTAATTGTTAATTTTTGCTGTTCATTACATATTAGTATGCTTGTATTTTCTATTTCAATTAGAATAGATAAAATAATTTTGAAAAGAATGATGGGGATGATGTGGGGGATGATAATTATAATTAAGGTGATGTTAATGCTGATGGATATCGATGATTTACTTATTATCCTTACATTATTATTACTTCCAGATGTCGTCCTTAATACTAGTATTGTATTGGGAGACATAATCCCAAATGATGTTTCCGCATTCTACCGTTACGACGGATCCCTGACAACTCCTACCTGCGACGAAGCAGTTATATGGACCGTCTTTAAGAGCACTATCTCACTTTCCGAAAGCCAGGTTAGTTATAGAGCTTCGTTCTTAATGGTAGTGATGATATTGATGATGATGCTGATGGCGATTATAATAATAGCGACGAGGATAATGACGATAACGATAACGATAATAATGGTTATAATGATGATAATGATGACGATGATTATGGCGATGATGATAATGAAGACGATGATTATGGCGATGATGATAATGATGATATTGAAGTTTATCATGACCATTATCGTGATGATCATAATAATATGAGCATACCAATTGTTTATTCAAGTCAACGCTATCTTGACCTTGGTTAATCCATAGAGAAGTTCTATTTTCTCTATGGTTAATCTGGTATCAATCTTATTCCATGTATATAGCTTGACGTATTTCGAGATCTCACTGATGGGGACGGCAACAGTATATCCAACAACTACAGACCACCACAACCGGTCAACACTAGGACTATTTATAGATCTGAGAACGGTGGAAACGTCTTAACTGTTTCGTTAATAGCCCTGGTACTGGTCGGCATCTTGCATGTGTCATTGTAGAGGAAGGCTGCTAAATAATAAGATGGCAAACCGTGTGTCTTTCATGAAGATTTTCTCTGTGATAAACGATAGGCCTATACCTATGAAAACGAATAAGACACTTAATCTGTTTTAGTAAATTCATTTTCTAATTATCCATTCCACACGTGATATTAAAACGTTTGTTTTGCAAAATTTTGAATGCCACTAAAATTGAAATTTTCACTAGTATATATACTGTCTCTTATACGGTTTTTAACTTGTAATAGAGCACTCTCTCGCATGGGACGTACTTACCTAATCCAAGTTACATTACATACAATAGGCCTACTATATTGTCTGACCTTACAAACATTTGTTTTTCAAACAAAAGTTACAAAAAATGTATAAATTAATAAATAGTGCAGAGATTGAAAGTCATAAGACTTCACTTCTCGATTGGAATTAGCCTTGATTACTTTTTCGTAAAGTTTGTACAGTCAACTATTTGTATGTGTGTGTTTGTATATGTTTAAGTATTTATACATTCAATAAGTTACAAATTTATTTCAGCATGCATACATACATATAGTATAAATAATAATAACAGTGCTCGAATAGGAACATAAGATTTTATAATCGTATCAAGCAGTACTTCAACAAGAAGTTTAATTTTTCAGTTGTGGCATATATTCATTCATCTTTTACTTCAGAATTACAATTCCATACAAATCCATAGGGAAAAAAAATCAAGGAAAAAGTAGATAAACACGATCCACTGTACACAAAAGCATTTCAAGCAGGGGCGGATCCAGAAATGTCCAAAAGGGGGGACCGGAAGGGGGGCCGAAATTTGGGCCGATTGAGACAACACTGTCGTAGGGGGTCCGGGGCATGCCCCCTTGAAATTTTTGTGATCTAGACGCCCGAACATAACATTTGCATTCTGGGCTATAATTTTTTTCTTTTTCTCTCTTTTTTTCCCTTTTTTTTTTTCTTATTTTTTCCTTTTTTACCTCCCAAAAGGGGGGCCGGGGCCGGGCCGCCCCCCTTAAATCCGCCCCTGTCAAGTTAATTAATATACTAAAACATTCAGCCTCTAAGCAACTCATTCCAAGTGAGGCTCAGCTTAGAGTTAGGTAGAGCATTAACCCTAACACAAGATACAAGACTGTTAGTGCTTTTGTCAATTCTATTAATGAAGCTATACACTGATTTACGCAAAAAACACTGATTTTCCGTCAAATAAAATGACGGAACAGAGTTGTAACAAACATCCGGCTGGCCGGGCGCTACAGTGTCTAGGTTGTTTAAGTACTATGGGAAATGCATTGTTGTAACATACTTGCAATGAATTTAGAGAACTTTGAGTGAACTTGGCCCATAACGATGGACAATATATATTCACACAGTACCGGTACGATTTAAAAAGGAGACATTTAACCCTGTCAGAACAATTATTAAATTTCTTTGACAGGGAGTTCCCTCTTATGCATAGAGATCTGTACTGGCGCTTAATATCTAGCTAATTATTTAGAGTATTGGTAATTATATGGCCAAGAACACTATCACAGTAATTGAGTGGAAAAATTATTCAGACGAGTAACTGGCAAGCCATATACTTTACGTACACTCGGACAGAAAAGCATGCAAACAGATTTTTTGTGTTGTAAATGACATCATGAATTTTAGCAAAATTCTCACAGACATTAGCAAGGCGTTATAACCCAGAACAAGAAGGAGCCAAAAGCACCATGTCATCTGCATAGCATAGAAAATTAAATTTGGTACCTTTCAGCCCACATCCAGCATTAACATTATTCAGGCGAACATTTAGATCATCCACATAAATATTGTAAAGTAATGGTGACATAATACTACCTTGACGGACCCCATTTTTAACACCAAAGCCCGTAGATATTGTACCACCCCACTTTACCATAAATTCTTGAGTCATATACCAATGTCTTAACACTCTAATTACAAACAAAAGGAGTGCCCTCTATCAATTAGTTTATTGAACAACGTAAAATGATTAACGCGGTCAAACGCCTTGCTAGCATCTAGAAAACATGTATACACTGGGCTACCATTCCGCATAAAAAAATCAACAATTTGTTTGAAGACAAAAATACATGTATCTGTGGAGTTGCCAGATTTAAAAGCAAACTGTTGAATACAGGTTCGAATCCCACTAGAGACATTTTCTTTATTTATTTATTTATTTATTCGGAACGTACACTTTTAAATCGGTGGCACTCTTCCAAAGGGAGGTGCGTCCAAGAAAATAAAACAAAATATACAAAATCACTAAAACAAAACATAACTTAACTAAGAGCAACAGGAATTAAAAATAAACCCCACCCATTTACTCCTTACTTAACTCCCCACCCAAAGCAACCTACGAGAAATTAACCTATTTTCATTTAAATTCCTTTTCCTTTAGAGCAAAAATAAACATAAACAAAGCAAAACCCTCCCCAACTAACCCACACAAGAACAAAACCAAATTTTCGTTTATCCACCCTCCCACTTAACAACAGATTTACATTAAGCTAAAAGATTGCAATGACCAAAGTTGGAAGAACAGCAAGGCAGAAAAGAACAAAAATATTGGCTAGCAACACAATGTCGTCAGCCCAAAATAGACTTCCAACCCATTCATCATTAATTCTAGTGCCAAGGCCATTTGACTTTAGAATTTTGGTAAATTCATTCATAAACATATTAAATAGTATAGGGGAGAAAACGCATCCCTGCTTTACCCCTTGTTCAACATCAAAAATATCAGTTTTAATAGAACCAAAACAAACCTTACTCTTAACAGAACAATACAACCTATCGATAATTCTCCACACCTTCCCTCTGATACCTGCAGGATTCCAGACGGCTTTCTTTAACCCATCCCTCCAAACACTATCAAAAGCTTTTCGGAAGTCCTGAAAGGCAAGATATGTATGTTTACCTTGTTGTAGACGGCAAGCTTCTACACTTTTCAAGACAAATACATGATCTTCGCATCTATGCGATGGGCTGAAACCTCCCTGGACTTCCGAAAGAATGTCATTATTTTCTAGGTAAGACGAAATATTTTTTGCTATTATTCTATGAAATATTTTGGAGACACAAGATGTTAAGGAAATTCCTCGATAATTGTTGAGATCTCTTCGGTCTCCTTTTTTATGAATAGGGATGATTATACTGGTGTTCCAGTCGTTAGGAATTTGTTCAAGACATATAATTTTGTTAAATAATTTTAATAGAGATTTTACAAGGGCATCACCACCGTTTTTAAGTAATTCATTTGTAATATTATCTAATCCTGGGGCTTTATTATTCTTAGCCAATGAAAGTGCATCTTCAACAATGTCATAATCAATAAAAAATATTATATAAAAAAATACCATCTGTATCATCAGTACATTCATTCACATTCATAAAATCATTTGAAAACTCCTCTCTAATAGCATTTACAAACCTAGCAGTTAAGTAGGCATTGTTGTCAGTGAGGTCCATGTTAGCTTTACCAACATTTTCCCAGTATTTCTTAACTGTTGAATTTAGTAAACCTTCATCCAAAATGATTTCATTTCTGTCAGGTTTTTTAATACAATGAAGATTACTTTTCAAATGTTTACAATTTTTACCCTTTAAAACTTTCCAAAAATCTTTACATGATGTACCACCTTGGTTTGAAATATCAATGGACATTTGAACACGTTTATGGGTAATCTTTTCAGAGACTAGCTTTTTAACCTGCTTTTCGTTGTATGATTCCCACAACATGGCACCATAATCACAATGATATCCATGTCATCATGCCTGCTATTGTTATTATTACTAACAGTGTTAACACCACTGTTAATTTTAGGCCTATTATTGATATTATCATTATTATTATTCTATTCATGTTATTATTAATATTATTATTATTATTATTATTATTATTATTATTATTATTATTGTCAATATTATTATTATCAGCATTTTTATTACTCTTAATCCACCTACAGTGTTCACGGGAGGCTTTTTTCCTATCCTTAATGGCGATGTCAATTTCTTTATCAAACCACGGTTTTAGTTTGCTGTTTGAAATCTTTAGACCTATTCCTTCAGTGGCTGCCTCAATTAATTTATCCTTCCAAGATTCCCATATTGAGTCAACAGTATCAAATTCATTAACATCCCAGTTATCAAATTTCTCTCGAGTTCTATAGCTTGAATAATCCTGGTCAGGTTTAATATTCCATATTGTTTTATTATTCTTAGTAGGAATGGGCTTATTTATATCTAGATTGTTTAGTGTAAGCCACAAAACACAATGATCACTGCCGAAGTTAAACATTCTTTCCTCGTCAATAAGTAAGTTATTAACATAATTAGTTAAGGCGTTGGAACATAACAGATAATCAATTGTGCTTTGTTGCTTATTTCGGCGCCAAGTTATTTTACCCTTACAAAATTCAGTGCAGTTGAGAATAGATAAATTAGAATTATCTTTAAATTCGAGGAGTCTTTCACCATTTGAGTTAAGAATGCGATCCCCACCAGGAATTTCTTTGCCAATTCTGGCATTAAAATCTCTCATTATCAATATCTGAGGATCCTCAGATTATATACACAAAGGTTTAGGGTTTTGAGTATATAGTTGCTAAAATAATTGTTATCAACACAGAATTCAATTTGTTTTGTGTAAACGAATGACATTTTCTCAAATTTCCTTAACAATAAACAAGTAAATTTCTTTGAACCCTCTTGATAATTGAAACAAATCGACGTAAGTTGATTAAAAAAAAACAGACACACATTGTAGAAATAACACAAAAGATTTAATAATAGACATGTTTCGGATTGACAACAACCCATCATCAGAAGGCCTACAGAATCGTCTTATTATCATCTTAGCTGTTGGTGGTAGTTGTATTTTGCATCTTGCCGGTTCTTGTATTCTCTTGACCAACCCGTCGTGTTTCTGACAGTCGATTAATTTAACCAAGGAAAAAAAAAACACGTTTTAAAGTTAACAAATTGTTTATAACGTCAGTATCTAGTGAATGGTGTAACAGTAGTGATATATAAAGATATGGTATGTGTGCAAAAGGTATTTCAGACACAATATGTATGGCCACAATCAAGATTGGAAATGACAAAAGGGCAGGCTGCCTTTATATATTTTTTCTGTTTTGTGTGTGTAGCACACTTTTATTCAAAATAAAAATCTAGTAATCATATCACATAGGATTCAATTCATTCACATGTTTTTTTTTTCTCATTCTTATAAAAAGTCATTATCACATAAATATTTAAATCATATATGATTTGTAGGTAGGCCTATTGCATCGATATCTGCATAATTATAGACATATCAGAACCAAGTCTTGTGTAACACAAGTGTCAGAAGATGACCTTGTGGCAACGCGATGGCAAGAGTGTTCCGATGACTGACGCATCATTGGCGCTATAAGACTAGCATAGCATTATTTTTTTTATTGGGTTTTTGTTGAAAAAGTAATCGTAAATCACCAATAGGCCTATTACACAACACAAATACCTCATGAGTACAATCGTGTCTCCACAGTATCAGAGATCGTCAACCTGTTAACACGTCTACTATTAACTCAGCCATGCAGACGTTTTGGTGAATGATACTCCCTTGCTAGAGACATTTCTTTATATAACTACAAAAGGGATCTTTTGAAGAGCTATGCTTGATACGATTATAACACCTTTCGAGTTCCTATTCGAGCACTGTTATTGTTCATTTCATTTATTTAAGTATTTCCTGCTGTTAATATGCCTTTTTATTTTTATTATATAAGTAAATAAATGAATAAAGAAATTGTGTAATAAAATGGAGTGTATCTGGTGGTATTTCAATCTATTCAACCATGAAGCCTCCGTGGTCTAGTGGTTATGACATTCGCCTTGACAGCGAGAGGTCGCAGGTTCGAGTCCCGCCAGAGGCATTTTATTACACAATTTCTTTATTCATTTATTTACAGGACTACATTCGTTGAGAGATATGCTACACGATGTATTTATTAAGTCCTTTATTCGAACACTGTATTTACCTTTCTTTGATGATTTATATATGATTTAACAGTGTTAACGGCTACCTTAATTTATGTTATATGCACCTATTTGTTTCTAGCCGTAC